GGGGAAAGGGAGGGGGGGGGGGGGGGAGAGGAAACAAGTGATGGTCAAAGCTTTCATGGGCATGGGTTGGGGATCAGATTGCTTGACTCCTCCACTGCCTGCCCCCTGTTGATGCTTCCTGCCCTGCAGCAGGGGGGGATGATGATTTAAGATGACCCTCCAATAATTAGATTCTATAGATGGCAAATGATAACAAATTAATAATTTTTTCCATATGTAGACTCTAATTATTGGAGGTTCATCTTAAATTTGAACTCATCTGGATTCGGATAAATACGGTATAATGTAAAATCTAAAAAAAGTTTTGGAATTCTATACCAATGCCTAGGGATCTAAAGTGTGCTGAGAAGAAGGAAAAATCATAGGCCACTCACAGATCCCAGCACCATTTTCACAGTCTTTTTGTGGTGAGCCCCTCCTTTCCTGCCAGACTACTGATTGGCTAAGGGGCCCTGCTGCTCACTGCTGATTGGGTGAGAAGGGCAGGGCTGTCTGAAAGGCAGCCCGCTCAGCCAATCAGCGACAAATGGAGCAGCTGCCAGATTGGCTGCTCCCCTTCATGCTGGTGGCTTCCTCATTTCCGCCTCCCCTCAGTGGGCTGCAACGCCAATCCACAGTGGACACTGGCTCCAACTGGGGAGCCAGTGTTTTATTTTTAGTAAGTTTTTTTTTCCAGCAATTCTGCATAAAATCGCAGATACCACTGTTTTTCACTCTGCAAAAATTGCAAAACCACAATGAGTAGGACCCTAACAATGCCTTCCTGCACATCTGGGGCACTGATTTCACATTAAGGGTGCTAGTTTACACCAGCTCAAAACCTAGCTCTTCACATACCTGCTACCTGCACAGCTGCATTTCCTTTAGGTAAGAGAGAAATTATTTCTACATCATGTGAAATTCTTCACTTTTTCCATTTATCTTACAAAGAAGCAGTTACGTGAAACACTTTCTATCAAGTCAACTTCCCAGTCTTTTAAAAGTGAGATGTAAGAACTGTTTCCATGCAAAAATTTATCACTTTGCAAGACAAGAGGCAACTGCAACCCATTTATTTTTTCAGGAAGATCCTGCTGTCACATATTGAAGACAAATCATGTAGCCAAAATTAACCAATCTCAGTCAGTTACTTCTGATGCTATTTCTACAACTTGTAAATAAAACTTCTGATATTAATAATTATAAATCGAGTTTCTTATTTTAACTTTTGCACCTTTGCAAGAAGATAATTATTTAACCTTTTAAAACAAGTTCTCTAATTTTCTTTGCGTGATCTTTAAAATCCCAGCCATTGTTTTGTTCAGGTCAAATAAGCTGATCATATTAACTCAAACGGTTATTAAAAGTATGCCATTTTTGGAATTGTTTGGGCCAGTTTTTTTCCTTTTTATGGTGATTTTGTTTTTAAAGTCTTTATATTGTCATTTGAATAGACTTATTTTAATATCAGGTATGCTCATTAAAAGGCCTCTTTTCTCCTGTCACCCTCAGCATGTGGCCTCTGAGTTCTCTCCTCCCAGATTTCAGCAGTACTGCTTCCAGTTAGCTCATTCTTCGCTATCAATCATGTGCCCACATAACTAACAGAGACTTTGTTCAGTTATAGGTTTATTGTCTAGGTCAAAATGCTAATCTTTATGCTGATCATTCTAGACAATGGTAAGAATTAAAAGTCTTTTCCCTTGGTATATTTGGGAAAGTAATGTTGTTAGGTGAAACATCCTATATCGGTGAGTATATGGAACCGGTTCCCCTTTTGCCCCAAGCCAGGTCTTTTGCTCTATGTACAGCACTTATCACAAATAAGGACCTGATCCCCGAGGGAGGGTCTGCATGCCCTGCCAACACTAAATACAGCCTGGTTCTTTAGCTTAAGTATAGTATTTCACAATTTAAGCTTTGGAGGCCTCAATTAAATTTGTTGTATACCAGTAAAAATAGAAAGTGCTGCAATATACAAGGATGCACTGGACATAGTGTTCATGGCATCAGAGAACCATCTAATGAGGATCAGTAAAACAAGTAAAAAAAATAGGAAAAAAAATCTCAGCAGGTATGTGTGGCAGGGCACTGGTAGTGCCTGCCACTTTAAGGACTGTGCCAGGGAGGGACAGATACCTGATGAGGCCATTTTAAGGTGCTATTTTAAGGCCCAGCTCCCTGAGCTGAGGGCAGTTCATGATCAGGCAGCAGAGGAGAACCATCTCTCTGCTGAGCTCTGCCAGGAACACCTTGGAGGTAAGGGTAAGACTATGGCGAAGGCTTGGAGGCCTCGTTGGTCCTGGGCATAACCTAAAACTGCACCTAAAACAGGCCTTCCAGAGCTTGAAGGCCTGTTGGGGCTGCTGGTGGTACAGCAGTCCCCAGGTGAAAGCCAGGAGTGATCACCTCCCCAGTGTAAGGCGGGTCGGGGTGCCTTAACCTCAGCCCCCGCCTTTGGGTGAGTTACATAGTGCAGAGAAGACCAAGTAAGCCTCTTGAAGTGCCTGGACCTGCTGGGGTGAGTGAGCCCACAGGGCCAGGTACAATTTGTGAAGCACATGAGCCGGGAATGGGGGACCCCCAAATCCTGTACACAGGCATGCAGCCTATACCTGACCTGAGGTACCCGACTGGTCCATGCTGGGACCAGGACCCAGAGACGGGTCAAAAGAGCCAGGGGCCCACTGTGAGGGATGCCCACAGAGCAAAAAAGCTCAGGGTCCTAACTGGTCTGAGACAGGGCCAGGGACTCAGGGGAGCCGAAGGTCCCAGAAAGGAGACCACAGCTAATGGGCGAAGGGAACGGCTGAGTTTTGCTGCTTGGGATACCATCTGTGAGGCTTGGGCTGCAGTTGGGGGTGGAACGGAGCTGCGGATACCCCCCTAAACATCGGGGTTCAAAATGGGCAGCCTCCTGCCTAATTCACATCTCAATACTATTACATCAAGGCGTGGTAGCAGAGTGAGGTGGGCAGCTGGCCCATAGACAGGATGTAGGCCGGTGCTTGTACCAGGCATGAAAGCTTGCCCCATCTCAGTATATTCTATCTCTGTCTTTCAACTACATGATGCTACCCCTCTCTCTCATTATTTGGGCTTTAACTTACATGTTAGTTAATATAGTAGAACTCAGTCCTGCAGCTGGCTGCATTTGGGCAAAGTCCTAACCTGCACAGAGGCAATTACAATATTGAAGATGTAGTGTCTGCACCAAAGCACCAATATTTACTTTGCCACCAACCCCTCTCCTGCCATGTGGAATCAGACCTTCTTCTATGTGGAGTGTTCACTAGATCACACATACCCATGAATGGAAGAGAAGAATGGGGAAGTGGTTACTGTGTAGATGAGGTCCCTCTCTTTTTCTTCCATGTCTATGAAATGGAGCTGTTTCTTAGTTAGATAAGCAATCTCAGTTTCCTTGACAATCAGGTGACGGGTAACCCCTGAATCTTCTTTTGGAAGCTGATCATCCACAGGAATAATATGCACTATCACCACCTAAAATAAAAAATTTAGAAAAACATTGCAGGTTTTCTAAAATATTTGTAAATGCCCTAAATACTTTGAGTGTCCATAGCGTCATGCTACAGGGGAACCAGTAGGGTATCTATAATTAATTTTTAAAACATCTCAAATAAATATTTAAAAGTAGAAATCCTTCTTTCAATTTATATTTTCCTTCAGCATGCACACAGTTATACTAGATGTATTTCTTTCTTATTTGTCTGAGGACCTTACAATTTACACCAGTTAGCTACTATCGGTTACAACAGCAGTGCTGGGTAGCAAACATTTTTAAGCAATAGGAGGGCACTAACCAAATTATGCTCACTCATTAACATGTAAAAATAAACGGACTGATTGTTCATGTCATGTCATATCATGTCAAACTTCCTTAACCATAACAAAAGAAACAAAAGAACCATAACACTCAATTTATACTCAGGGATGGCCTATAATAGGGCCCCCAATAATTGGACTATAATTGATCTGTAATGCCCCAAATTGACCATTACAGAAACATTAAATGTATTAGTGTCGAGTGATGTCATCTTTGGGAGAAAAGCTATGTTTTCTCAAAATGAACCTGAAAATGAGAGCCAGTTTCTCTGCAGAGCCAATTTACAATTGGCTCAACAAAGCCCTGGCTGGGATGATCTAGTTGGGGACGGTCCTGCTTTGAGCAGGGGTTTGGAGTAGATGATCTAAGGTCCCTTCCAACACTAATTTTCTATGATTCTATGATAACCAGAATGCTGTGCTGTGCTGTCCTGTGCTACATTACAACGCAGTCCAGCAAGTTAAATTATGAATATGTTGGGAATGTCCATTTAAATTCAAGACAAAGTTAAATTTAATCAAATTAACCATCAAATACTATCAATAAAAACCATTTTAAGATCTGTAACTTTAAGATTAGTTCAAAGTCTTCATTCATATCTGTTTGCAAACTTCCTACAGTTTTCAAACAGGAAAAGGTGTTAAAAAGAATTGGAGATTTATAAATGAGATAGGGAATTTGGTCTGAAGAATTTTTTTTATTGATGATGATATGCATGCAGGAGAGAACTTAGCTTGATTTTAGGTTCTATCCTAAATTTTTAGGAATGGCAGTTAGAGGAAAATCTTAAGGTTTTCAACACCCATTTAGGAAATATTGCAGGTGTCTTGACATCAACTCCACATTCTACAAGAGATCTTCAATTTTCATGCCTGTGACTCTGAGAGATTGGGAGGGTCATGGCTATCACAAAGGACAAACTCCAGGGAATCTTCAAATATTTCTCCTCCAAAGTGCCGATAATAAATTATTCCACTGAACAGATCTCTCTGAAAGAAGCCAGTGACAGGATATCCTGTTGAATCAGAAAGATAAAAAAACACATTTCATAGAACTATTTATAATTTTCAATCGTGCTGATAAAAATTATATCCCAACTTTCCAGGACATCAACTGACTCTGTTCCCACCTTCATTTTCATGAAGGTGTAGTCTCCAATTAAGATGTTTCCTTTGTCTAATGCAGCTAATGAAGGGATCACAAGCTCTCTCTCCATATTACATCATGATTGTTAAAAAAGTGAAGCAACAGAAATCTCAGTGACAATGCCAAAGCCCAGAGAAAAGGACAAAAGTGAATTTATGCAATTTGACAGTCTAACAAATTTAACAAAAAATATTTTGTATTCAGCTGTGAAACAAGAGAAACTTTGTACTCCGCATATATCTCATTAGTACCAGCCTCTAACTTTCAAATAGGGCAAGACAAGCTCTTAACCATCCACATCTTTCTAGTAAAAAAATGTAAAGAAATGCACTCAAAATGAGGTGACCCTGGGCCAATTCTATTCTCAATTACAGTGTAAATCTGGTGTAAATTCACAATAGCACCATTTTAAATCAATGGATTTATACAAAGTAACTATGAGCAAAATTTGCCCTTCTGTGATGGAAATGTCTGACTGGCAATGGTTGAAAAACAGCATTATTCTGAGGAACATAGCCCTATTTTCCTTTATTAAGAAAAAATTTTAAATTCCTTTTTGCTGTGGATAACTTATGTTACCTATGAGATCTGGCCCTGGTTTCTTCATAATTTCCCCAGCCTGCAATGGTTTGGTCAAATTAAAGAATATGTAGTCATCACTGGAGTCCACGTCAGAAGCCTGAAGCATGGAGCCTTGAATCAAAACTGTCTGCCCTTCATACACTTCAATAACAACATTGCTGATAAGGAAAGGGGGACTGTCATCTTTAGGCAGAATGTTGATTGGAAACTTGTGACGAATACTGTGTCGGCCATCAAAAATCCTAAAGACCACAAAATCCTTTGTAGAGTCACTGTCATCGTGATGGTAGCAAACAACTCCAGTCTTAAGATCAGAGACTGTGAACATGAATCCTTTCCCTCCTGTCAAAACAATAAAAGAAGAGGTTTTAAAGTTATATAATTCGGTCAAAGGAACTACAATTGCGTTCAATAGCTCAGGAGTTCTAATTCAGTTCTATGTTCTGTGACTTTTAAGAGGGGTAAAAATTCATTAAAAATATATCCAACAGGAAGAGCATTAAAATAGTCTGGAACAGTGTTTGGGCAGCAATGCTAACAGTAACTGTACTGGCAAATTAAATTTAAAATGGCAATTTGCAGCATAGACCCTTTGAAGACATTAGCAATTTCAAACTACCACTGTTTTCAGTTCACTGGGTGTGTCTACACATGCTATTAATTCAAAGTCGGCTTACTGCACAGTAAAATACAGTAAAATACTGTAAAATACTGTGCAGTAAGCCTACTGAGCAGAATGTGTACACGTGCTCTCTCTTGGGAGCAGATTTGCCCTCACCTTGCCCAGCCCCCCTGCAGCACCCAGGGGAGCTCCAGGCTCCCCCTGGATGCTAGCCTGGGGACTGACAGGGAGCACAGGGCCAGGAGAGCTCTGCCAGCTGCAGTGGCAGCTGTCTCCTGGCCCTGTGCACATCGAGAGAGGTCCTGATGTGCACAGGCCACGAGACAGCTGTTGCTGCAGAGCTCTCAACATTTTTAAGCAATAGGAGGGCACTAACCAAATTATGCTCACTCATTAACATGTAAAAATAAACGGACTGATTGTTCATGTCATGTCATATCATGTCAAACTTCCTTAACCATAACAAAAGAAACAAAAGAACCATAACACTCAATTTATACTCAGGGATGGCCTATAATAGGGCCCCCAATAATTGGACTATAATTGATCTGTAATGCCCCAAATTGACCATTACAGAAACATTAAATGTATTAGTGTCGAGTGATGTCATCTTTGGGAGAAAAGCTATGTTTTCTCAAAATGAACCTGAAAATGAGAGCCAGTTTCTCTGCAGAGCCAATTTACAATTGGCTCAACAAAGCCCTGGCTGGGATGATCTAGTTGGGGACGGTCCTGCTTTGAGCAGGGGTTTGGAGTAGATGATCTAAGGTCCCTTCCAACACTAATTTTCTATGATTCTATGATAACCAGAATGCTGTGCTGTGCTGTCCTGTGCTACATTACAACGCAGTCCAGCAAGTTAAATTATGAATATGTTGGGAATGTCCATTTAAATTCAAGACAAAGTTAAATTTAATCAAATTAACCATCAAATACTATCAATAAAAACCATTTTAAGATCTGTAACTTTAAGATTAGTTCAAAGTCTTCATTCATATCTGTTTGCAAACTTCCTACAGTTTTCAAACAGGAAAAGGTGTTAAAAAGAATTGGAGATTTATAAATGAGATAGGGAATTTGGTCTGAAGAATTTTTTTTATTGATGATGATATGCATGCAGGAGAGAACTTAGCTTGATTTTAGGTTCTATCCTAAATTTTTAGGAATGGCAGTTAGAGGAAAATCTTAAGGTTTTCAACACCCATTTAGGAAATATTGCAGGTGTCTTGACATCAACTCCACATTCTACAAGAGATCTTCAATTTTCATGCCTGTGACTCTGAGAGATTGGGAGGGTCATGGCTATCACAAAGGACAAACTCCAGGGAATCTTCAAATATTTCTCCTCCAAAGTGCCGATAATAAATTATTCCACTGAACAGATCTCTCTGAAAGAAGCCAGTGACAGGATATCCTGTTGAATCAGAAAGATAAAAAAACACATTTCATAGAACTATTTATAATTTTCAATCGTGCTGATAAAAATTATATCCCAACTTTCCAGGACATCAACTGACTCTGTTCCCACCTTCATTTTCATGAAGGTGTAGTCTCCAATTAAGATGTTTCCTTTGTCTAATGCAGCTAATGAAGGGATCACAAGCTCTCTCTCCATATTACATCATGATTGTTAAAAAAGTGAAGCAACAGAAATCTCAGTGACAATGCCAAAGCCCAGAGAAAAGGACAAAAGTGAATTTATGCAATTTGACAGTCTAACAAATTTAACAAAAAATATTTTGTATTCAGCTGTGAAACAAGAGAAACTTTGTACTCCGCATATATCTCATTAGTACCAGCCTCTAACTTTCAAATAGGGCAAGACAAGCTCTTAACCATCCACATCTTTCTAGTAAAAAAATGTAAAGAAATGCACTCAAAATGAGGTGACCCTGGGCCAATTCTATTCTCAATTACAGTGTAAATCTGGTGTAAATTCACAATAGCACCATTTTAAATCAATGGATTTATACAAAGTAACTATGAGCAAAATTTGCCCTTCTGTGATGGAAATGTCTGACTGGCAATGGTTGAAAAACAGCATTATTCTGAGGAACATAGCCCTATTTTCCTTTATTAAGAAAAAATTTTAAATTCCTTTTTGCTGTGGATAACTTATGTTACCTATGAGATCTGGCCCTGGTTTCTTCATAATTTCCCCAGCCTGCAATGGTTTGGTCAAATTAAAGAATATGTAGTCATCACTGGAGTCCACGTCAGAAGCCTGAAGCATGGAGCCTTGAATCAAAACTGTCTGCCCTTCATACACTTCAATAACAACATTGCTGATAAGGAAAGGGGGACTGTCATCTTTAGGCAGAATGTTGATTGGAAACTTGTGACGAATACTGTGTCGGCCATCAAAAATCCTAAAGACCACAAAATCCTTTGTAGAGTCACTGTCATCGTGATGGTAGCAAACAACTCCAGTCTTAAGATCAGAGACTGTGAACATGAATCCTTTCCCTCCTGTCAAAACAATAAAAGAAGAGGTTTTAAAGTTATATAATTCGGTCAAAGGAACTACAATTGCGTTCAATAGCTCAGGAGTTCTAATTCAGTTCTATGTTCTGTGACTTTTAAGAGGGGTAAAAATTCATTAAAAATATATCCAACAGGAAGAGCATTAAAATAGTCTGGAACAGTGTTTGGGCAGCAATGCTAACAGTAACTGTACTGGCAAATTAAATTTAAAATGGCAATTTGCAGCATAGACCCTTTGAAGACATTAGCAATTTCAAACTACCACTGTTTTCAGTTCACTGGGTGTGTCTACACATGCTATTAATTCAAAGTCGGCTTACTGCACAGTAAAATACAGTAAAATACTGTAAAATACTGTGCAGTAAGCCTACTGAGCAGAATGTGTACACGTGCTCTCTCTTGGGAGCAGATTTGCCCTCACCTTGCCCAGCCCCCCTGCAGCACCCAGGGGAGCTCCAGGCTCCCCCTGGATGCTAGCCTGGGGACTGACAGGGAGCACAGGGCCAGGAGAGCTCTGCCAGCTGCAGTGGCAGCTGTCTCCTGGCCCTGTGCACATCGAGAGAGGTCCTGATGTGCACAGGCCACGAGACAGCTGTTGCTGCAGAGCTCTCCCGCCCCGTGCACATGGGGACAAGTCTTGCGCCTAGTGGAGATTCCCTGCACAGCCTGAGGCTGGCTGGGACCTGGCCCAGGACAGGACAGTTCCCAGCCAGCCCCAGACTGCATGGGGAAGTCTTCATGTGCAGCCTGGGGCTG